TTTTTTTTCCCTGAGGCTGAGTCTCCCCCCTGTTGCCTAGGCTGGAGTGTAGTGGTGCTGTCTTAGCTCACTGCAACCTCCACTTCTCAGGCTCAAGCTATTCTCCCATTTCAGCCTCCTGAGTAGCTGGGATTACAGGTGCCTGTCACCATGCCAGGGTAATTTTCTTGTATTTTTTGTAGAGACGGGGCTTCGCCATGTTGGCTAGGCCGGTCTCAAACTCCTGACCTCAAGTGATCTGCCCACCTTAGCCTTCCAAAATGTTGGGATTACAGATGTAAGCCACTGCAGCTGGCCTGTCATAGTCATCTTTGTATCCTAGCATCTTGCACAGTGCCTGGCACATGGTACAAAATATATTGAATAAATGAAGGAGAGGACTGAAATACTTACTTAGGTGTGAAATTTATTTCCTTGAATTCTCCAATCCCCAGCTGCCCTTCAGAACCAGCTCCCCATGCGAAGACCCTTCCTTTGTGGCACACAGCCAGGGAGTGCTCCTTCCCGCAGCTCACAAGATCAAACTTTAGGGTTTTCAATGCCTGAACTGGTTCTTTGGGAAACAAAACAAAACACCCCCCAACCACCACCACCAGATTATTAGTTTAACAAGTTTAAGACAGCACTTTTCTTCAAAAAGAAGGATCATCCAGATTTCTTGTCTCCTCCAATGGTATTTTAAACTGAGACCTAAAGTTCATGCTAAATGTCTGAAGGAAGTAGATTCAATGTGCAATGTGTGTTAACCTGTCTTTTTTTTTTTTTTTTTTTTTTTTTTTTTTAGGCTTTTTTCCTTAGCAAACTAATGCAGGAAGACTTACCCTGTCTTTATGGGATACAGCTCTGTTAAAATAATTAACTGGGAGGCTATTAAGTTGAGATGGCTCCAGCACCTTGGGTTCCTACATAAACAAACCAAAACCCAACTCACAGTGATTGGTCATAGCCCAGGAAAATGAAACTTAAGGTTAACCAATCAGAAAGCACCAACTAACTTTAGAGACTAAACCACCAACTAACTAGAGACTTCATAAACCAGAAACTGCTGACTACTTCTAACGCGGGACTTTCCACTTTAACCAATCAAATATTTTCTTTGTCTTGCTTCCTGGAACATCATATCAAAGGTTTCCCCTCGCATCTCCTTGCACCTCCCTCAATGGAGCCCAACTGCTTGAGGTCTGGTGCTGCTCAATTCATGAACTGCTGAATGTTCAAATTAACTCTTAAAAACATTTAATGTACCTAAATCTATCTTTTAATGGCGGTTACATAAAGGAGTAGGCATCATGGAGGGGGTAACATTTAGGGATTCTGACGCATAACCAAACATTTCTCTATGGTGGTGTTAGCAAACCCTAGCAAAATAAAGGGACCCAGAAAAAGTTGGGATCTCCTCCATTCTGCTACTCAGTCTTCCCACCCTAAACACTGAAAGCAGTGAATCCCTTGCTCAGAAGGAAATTGGAAGGCAGCCTACCTCATGAGCGTGAGAGGCAGGTGCTGGATCCTTTTACGATGAAAAGTGAAAAAATATGCCCTTATGGAGGCCCTAAATATGCTCACAAATGAAAACCACATCACATTTCCCTACAAGCCAATCTAAACTGTTTTCCCAAGGCGCCTGTCTCTGAATTATTAGAGTTGAGAACATCATACCAGTAAAGTTTTTGTAACGTTTAAGATTTTGTTTTTCCTTTTATCTTCAAATTTTTTTTTCAACTATTTACTGTCAATCTATGCAAGGCTAAAATTTCCCAAAGATTCATGTACTTGGAAAGACAGAAATTGGTACCATTTTTCTGGAGAACAATTTGGCATTAAGTATCATGTTGCCCTTCATTTCCAAATGAAGGTGATCAGACCTGAAAACATGCTACTATACCATAAGAATTTGAGCTGAAGGCAACTGAGAATCAACAGATGCAGGAAGAGTTCTCTGCTCTCTTCTTATCTACCTAAAAGTAGGGCATAAATATCCTTTTGTGAGAAGCTCCCATCTCCTGCACCAAGAAGAGAAGGGTCACCTAAGATGAAGACTTGGCACTGGGATGAGTCTGCATAAACAACTCTAATAAAATAACCTTATCTTCCCTTATATTTTCTAGTCATTTTCCCCAAGTTCATCGACCTTTAAAGTCCAAACCCCTTTTCCTTTGTTAAATATGATACACAAGCCCCTAAGTCAAACACTTGAGTTTCACTACTATTTTGCAAATTCCCGTGCATGTAAATCCCCCTATATGTAAAAGATTAATAAAATTGTATGCTTTTTCTCCTGTCCATCTGTCTTTTGTCAGTTAAGTTTGCAGGCCCCAGGGGCTGAATTTAAGAGGGTAGAGGAAAAATTTTCCTTCTCCACACACCTTTTGAAACTATTCTCAGCAAGTCATCAGATATGTGGTCAAATTATTTCCTTACAAGAACATCAATCAGAATTACTTATAAAAGCCCCTAGTGGGAAACAATCTACTTTCCACAAAAAGAGAATAATTATGGTACTCTCAGAGTTTGGAATGTTATGCAGCAATTTAAAATGTATTTTCAAAACATATACAATAAAAGGGCAGTATGTTCATATGATTATGTTTGATGAAAACACAATGTATAGAGTTGCAATAAATACTGCATATACAAATCTATAATGGCATGATTTTATAAAACATTAAATACATACATTGAAAAAAGTAGACAAGGAGAAAATGCATCAAAATGTTAGGAGTTATCTTTGGATGTTGGAGCTTCAGGTGAGTTCTTTCTCGTATTTCTACAATAATCTATAACGATTATTGTATTATCATATATTTTTTAAGAAAAAAGTGCCCCAGGGTATTTCTAAGGGAGTTACAGGTGTCCAACCCGCAAACCACGTTTGTAAGGTCAGGCTGCCTTCTCCAGGTATAACCGCGCAGGCGAGGATTTGTCTGCGAGGCAAGCCGGAGGGACCACATTTCTATCCAGAGCAGCGCGGACCGGGTTAGTTTTGACTCTCAGTTTCGCTTTGAACTTGAATTGGAAACCGAAACGAACCCCAGGGGCGGCGGGAAAACGAAACTGAAGAAGTTGCGCTTCGGAAGCACAGGGCACAATTCTCCCGGTTCCGTTGGCTCCTCGGGTCCCGAGGCTCCCAGCACCCCTGCCTTCCTGGCCCATGGCGCCCAGCATCTGAGCCACACCCCGCACCTGGGCCCCCGCGCTCCTCACCCGGGTCCCCGCGCCCCGCACCCTGTTCCCTGCGCCCGGTACCCGAGCCCCCGCGTCCATGCACGGGGGTCCCCACACTCCGCGCCTGGGGTCTGCGCTCACCTGGCAGGTCCCCGCGCGGCTCGCCCCTGCGGCCCAGCTGGCCCCAGCTGTTCTCTCCGCACGAGTGGACTGAGGAGTTGGTCAGCAGCAGCAGAGCGTGACGCTCCCCGCTGGCCGCCTGCAGTAGCTCAGCCCCGGGGCTGCCCTCCGTCCTCCGGCGCTGCAGCCCGCTGGAGCCGGCCCTCCAACAGAAGTACATCCCGCTTCCGCGCCCAGTCGCCTGCTTCGGATTCAGTCCTTCTCTCTGCGACAGGCTCTCGAACGCTGGTGACTGGGTACGCAATGATTTCCTGGAGGTCGAGAGGCTCACCCTGCCTTCAACCCGTCCCAGGAGGGCAGCCCTAACCCCACGTCAACTCTCGCCGCCTAAGCTTCAGTTTTGAAGAGCAGAAAGGGCGTCCCAGGGGAATGCATCTGGGTTTACTTTATTATCCTAAGCCATTCATGAGTCATGAATGCCACTCTGGGCAACTTACCCAATGATTCTGTGCTTCAGCTATCACATCTACGAAATATGGACAGCAATTCAGCAAATCTAATATGTTGGGTTAATTTAATAGATACATAAAGTGTTAGAATAATACCTAGTGTGGTGAATAAAGCATCTGAGTGCCCACTTCCTTCCAGATCTTTTTTGGCACTGAAAATAAAAGGTTTTTTTGTTGGTTGGCTTGAGACGGATTCTCGCTCTGTCGCCCAGGCTGGAGTGCAGTTGCGCGATCTCGGCTCACTGCAACCTCCGCCTCCCGGGTTCAAGCAATTCTCCTGCTTCAGCCTCCCAAGTAGGTGGGATTATAGGCGTGCACCACGACACCCAGCTAATTTTTGTATTTTTAGTAGTTTCACCATCTTGACCAGGCTGGTCTCGAATTCCACCCCCTCAGCTTCCCAAAGTGCAGGGATTACAGACATGAGCCTCCGCGCCCGGCCCGAAAATACAATTAGTGAAAGACAAGATCTTGGTGGTGCGTTTTCCTTCTCCTGCGGAAGAGAACATAAACAGATGAACACATAGTGTAATATCCAGGGACAACGAAAAATACAATAGGACCTAGAGGGTAGAAGCAGAAGGTACTGGTATTCGAGATGATATTAGGGAAGAGTTTCCTGATAAAGTGATATTTATGCAGAGAGCTGAGGGGACATGGGAAATGAGGGAATGAGTCGTGATCATACGTAAGGGCAGAGGATAAAAAAAAAAAAAAA